AATTTCTTCCAGTCAGAGAATGTTGCAGATAATTAAATTTTTGCTTGATGCATGTCCTCTTGCTTAATAGGTGGCAGGTAAATATAATGTTAGTATAATGACAGAGTCACAGAGATTGAACTTTGTGTTTGTGCAGGAAAAAGTGTTAATTGACTCTGTAGCACAATCAAATTTCACATTAGAGGAAATAAAATATTGTGACTGCTGCATTTGCATAAAATCACCTCCCTTAATTTATGTTCAGTATGTAGACATATGTAGTTTTTCAATTAGTGAGTGAGTGATCTCTTCATCTCTCGGCTGCTTCTTTACACTCTGACACAAACTATAACACTACACAGTTTTGTAAACCTGTGAAATCATTTGAAGTGATACATTCATCAACCTTCAGTTTGAAAGTTGCTGTAACTGTAGTATATCTATGAAACTAATGCCGTTCTTCTTCTTTGGTAGTTTTAAAAAACCGTTATCAGAGATACAGTCCAGAAAGACAAATTTATTTATTTCTTATTCTCAGTAAAAACACGAGGCTTTTAAGAATAGTAGAGTCTGTGACGTTTATGGTAAATGTTGTATAGCACTTTACTTTATGTTAATGAACTCGTTGTCATCCTTAAAGATGCAGGGCACCAGGAAACCATTGGAACATGTATCATTATAATCACTCTATAAAATCAGAAATTGTACCCACAATATTTTCTTAGCATTAGCTTCAACTGGTTCACACATATTAATCACCTTGGATGGTTCCTGGCTTATAACTCTCTTGTACACCATCCATCTTCATCCGCTTTATCCGAGGCCGGGTCGCGGGGGCAGCAGCCTAAGCAGAGACGCCCAGACCTCCCCCTCCCCAGCCACCTCCTCCAGCTTATCCAGGGGAACACCACCGGCCTCCTCCCGGTGGGACATGCCCAGAACACCTCACCCAGGAGGCGCCCAGGAGGCATCCTTGTCAGATGCCCGAACCACCTCAGCTGGCTCCTTTCGATGTGGAGCAGCAGCGGCTCTACTCTAAACCCCTCCCGGATGGCCGAACTTCTCACCCTATCTCTAAGGGAGAGGCCAGCCACCCTTCGGAGGAAGCTCATTTCTGCCGCTTGTATCCGCGATCTCGTTCTTTCGGTCACTACCCACAGCTCGTGGCCATAGGTGAGGGTAGGGACGTAGATCGACCGGTAAATTGAGAGCTTCGCTTTTACACTCAGCTCAGTCTTCACCACGACGGACCGGTGCAGCGTCCGTCTCTTGTACACCTTCAAGTGGTTATCCAAGGCTGTGAGTCTTTGCTGGTATCTGTGTGGACAGCTTGTGGTTCTTCCACCATCCTGCAGCTCTGATAGATGGCTCGCTTCCCTCTGTGCCGCCTTCATCTTGGCCCCTGATCCTAACATTGTTCCTCGCTTCCATTCAATGCATTCAACGCACCTTTTGTTCATCCCCCAGCATGCGGGGATGATGACACCCTGGCTATTTGTTGTACCTCATCAGTCTCTAGTAAACTGCCTGCAGGGCGAGTGGGATTTTTTTTTTAATGATACAAAATTTACCTGATATCTTACAAAATGTTTCTAACCTTGTTTCTGACAGTGTTGGTGCCACCTTGGATCTTCCACAAAATAATTCACAGTTATAAAGCTATTTGTTATATATCATAATGACAACACATATTTTTAATGCTGGACATACAAACTAAAGGTAACAAGAACAATAACCTGAAAGAAAAGGTGTCCTATCATTATCTCCTTAACAGCATATCCTCAATCAATGTGAAGCATTAGTTTTGCTGTGATATGTTCCAGCCTAGAGGATGTTTGGTTTGAACATCCCTTCAGTCATTTTACAGCCTGTTTCCATGGGAACATCCACCCTTTAAAGGAATCCTCCTTTGAAAAACAGGCGCCGAAGTATTTTTTCCACTTTAAATATTTCTATAACCTGAATGAGGTTTTTTTGCTGTTTTTGAGAAACACAGTTCATCAAAAAGTCAAGGAGGGTAGTTTTAAATTTAAATTGTAAAGCAGCACATTGAGAAAAAGACAAAAAATCTATGAACACTAAAAATAAAAAAGAAATAAAACCATACTGGTGTCTTTACTAACTCGAGTAACACCGATGAGCCAAACTCAGAGGAGAAAATATCGAATCACATGAAGACTGTCGTTGTTATTTGGTTTAAACTGTAATGTCAGCAAAAAAAAAGTTTCTGGCACAACTTCACCTGCTTCCAAGGTGCATGGAGAGGATAAAAGAATTCACAAAGCAGGACTTGAGGAAGAAGAACAACTTTAATAA